TGCCGAAAACATGGATGTGGAAAATACGAGAATACTGAAACCTCACTCTCGATACCGGTTAAAGACTGTGTGAACAATAGCACGACCATCTCTGCAAATGGCTTCATTCCTGTATCAACTGGATGCAGAATTTCGCATGAACACAGCTGTCATCAAAGACCTTTCTATTTCTAGTATGATTGCAAGCCATGAATGTGATTGCAAACGCGCATGCTCTGTCTGTTGTTCGTAGATGAACTAGTTGATGCCCGTTTCTCAGTTGCTTGCACCTCATTAATGTGAGAGAACTCTTTACTCAAAGGAATTAGCGGTTAGGATAGATTTTTTGGTTTGAACCCAGCTCCTCCAAATTTCGATATTGACCTTTCACCATTTTTTCACTGGGCCAAAATGAATGAATAATCAGTAAATGAATGACCGAACAAATGAATGAGTAAATCAACCAATGAATGAATGCATCAGTTAATGTATTAATATCGACTGAATATGTAAATGAATGAATTTATGAAAGAACCAATGATGAAATAATGAGAAAAAAGGAAAGGAAAGTTCGTAACAGTTAGAATGATAATCTTACTTACACTTGTCCAGCAGGGGACCAATTCCAGCAACCTAGTTTTCATACAGTTAGTGGTGGGGCGCTGAACTGTTGATCTCTATTTCCATATTATCAGAAAGGGTATCTTATTTTTTAAGGGCAAAATGGGCAGCAGCTGTTGACTACGATAGTCTGCGTTCCCTTGTTTCGTTTCCACTAATTTATCAATGTTGTACTCATTTATCTACCTCGAAAGGAAGATATGTGATTGACCTCTTGATTAGGACTTGAACCCGAGACGGTTTCGGTGCTGAGTTCGACGCTTTACCAATTGATAAATTCCTTCATCGTGTGTATTCGTGGATGAGGAAAACATCCTCCAGCGGAATCGAAGCAAGCATTTCCGGATTTCAAACCAGACCTCTTAGGCATTGTGCCACCACGCCATACCACGTTGTAATGAAGACTTTACAAATGAATCGATGGATCAACAGATAAGTTACATTGCAGAGGTCTTCCTCATCAATGAGTGACTCCAGAATGCTAATTAGGCCAAAGTTCCGTCATAAGTGATACGTTATATAATTTACTGAATATTCAATAGAGGGGAATAATGAAATGATAAGTGGAAGCTATTACTTAACAACAACGCAGCGAAGTTGGAATGCGCAGAAGGGTGGCACCTTGATCGAATGGTCGCTGCCGCCGCCTTGATTGCGCTTAGTCACTGAACGAGCGTTTGACAATCTATAATTGCATTGTCATGCGAAACCATTTCCTCATTTTTACAGTAAGGTGCTGTTTTTACTCAGCTTTGCAGCACAATCGCTGTTGGAGCATTTCAGAGAAATCAGATATTGGGTAGGTTTAATTGTAACAAAGGGCAGGAGGTAAAGTCTATGTGTCTATGGAGCAATAAATTTGTCGTTAGAACTCATTGGGTAGGGTTCTAAGGCTGGTAACAAACTACTGGTCTTTTGATGAAAGGCAGCAGTTGGACGGCTCAGGGGTGGCATGAGAAAGCTGTAGATTTCGAGCCAGGCTGTGGACACGCCGGGTGAGGATGTTGCGATTGATGACCGGCCTGCGAACTGGCCTTCGCACCTTCGCACCTCTCACGATGTTAACTGGCTGTTCGTTCGGAAACGGCCGTCGCGAAGTCCGCCGGCTGAGGTTGCATCGGAAAGACGCGATTTGTTCGCTGGCACGTGATTTATGCCCTCCGTGTGAATGCCGAACGCCTCTGGCCGAGCTTCGCAATTTCGACAGCGACGAGGACCAGCCGTAAGATCAACGTTGTGCCGTCGTTCGCCAACTGGCGACTAAAAGGAGGGGGTTCATCACAGCGTCTTCGAAGTCATCGTTCGTTGTTGACGTCGCTTCCCGCAACACCATCCACACCATTTCAGCTTCAGACGTGGCTGGCCAACCACAAGTAAATACCTATTACGTAGAGCGCTGTATTTGTTTAGCTGGATCTGGCCGTTTTAGAGCGACTCTGTCACTGCACTCGGGGACACTCTGCACGCCAACAGCGCTGCATCATTCACACGTGTAAACGTCTGGTCGTGTCTGATGCACCGGGGTGTTTTCGGCAGGGACACTGCTGCACTGCTTTGTGTTCAAGCGACCACTCACCTCTAACTCAGGTGGTGAAAGTTAGGCATGGCCGTTTGAATACTGTACTTAGAAAAGTAGCCGCTTTCAAATTCTATACGTGTAGTGTCACACATGTTCGTTCTTCTCTTCTGACGAGGTAAACAGTATGGCAAAGCGCAGCCTGTAGTTTCGTGATCCTATCCCACCGAGTGGTACTCATTTATCAACCTCGGATGGAAGAAGACGATTTACGCGAATGGGACTCGAACCAGAGACCTAGTGGTCCTGAGGGTGACGCCCAGGTAACTGAACATCATCGATATGCCGGCTGACGGTCAAGCTGTATGACATGAGTCAAAGGCGCGACAATGCCAGGTTTTTTTATATAATCGTGTCATGAGGAGAGGTGACACAGTGGCAAGAAACGGGTTTGGACTCCTTGAGGTCCCAAATGCGAGTTCCAAGAAATGACATAGTTTGTGTTAACCGTTAATTCCCATGAGCAAGGAATGTACCTTCCGTCGCCTGTGCGCAACTGCACGAGACAGGTGGCAAGTCGTTTACTAGCGCGTAGCACTAAAAGCGTTGTATTCTGGGGTGGTCGTTCCAAATTGGGCGAAATGTACGATACGAGTCTCTTTTATGGTCGAACTTCGCCTTCACCTCCGAATAGCTAACTGTTCGATAAAGTCAGCATAAATCGATAAGGTGCAACCTAAATCAGACTTTTTGTCTCTACCTCAGCAGTTTTCCCCGTGACGTTCTTATCATCACAGTTGCGATCTCTGGACTTTGAAAAGGATGGCTGGCGGCTTAAAACGAGTTTATGTCACACTAAACAGTGGTGTTGCCAAAACTTTGTCGACACTCGTAAAGTCAGCAATCACTCAAACAAACTTATTTCATCCACTTGGATCGGGATCGCTCTCATTCGCTTAGTGATAAGCACTGATAACCAATGATGAGGGTAGGTGCTTATGGAATCTTGAAGACGGACGGCTTTTTGCTGGATCTCAGTTCTTTCAATTAAGGTAGATTGGTTTAGCAGCCACATAACAGTGCACGCCTGACTTGTTCTTATGTCTGCTTTCGCATCTCGCATGCCATCACTCGGAAATGCTGCCACTTCAAACAGTTAATGAAATGGCATTATAAGAAATTTCTGCGACGGAACCTGCTTCTTTAATCTTGAGTGTCAAGCACGGGTCAAAAAACGCTAGTTTCGCCCTTCCTGCTCTTCCATGTTTTTGCTACCCGCAAAATTGCTTTGAGGTAAATAAACAAAAGCGTGAAACTCTGAAAATCTAAATTATTTCAGATGCATGATCTAACCATCTGAAACCTCCTTTTTCTTTTCTTTGATCTGTAATGCGAAATTTTGTGAATTTTTAGACGTGAACGCTTGGCGACTGTATGAACGGTCTGAACCGAGTCCAGGCTGGGTCATACGGCAAGTCGCTCGAACCGAAGAGGCCCTGACACCGCTGTATGTATTCTCAACTCAATTGACGGTTATCGACAGCACCAGCTCAGCAAGCAGCAGCAGCAGCAGCATCGGCTTGAACGTGCACAACACTCGAACGGACCGCTGCTTTGCTTTCTGTGTACATGGCATCGCACGATAACGTTTGCCTACGAAAGTCATCACTTCCTCCTTCGGCGATACCAGCGACTTTCCATACTGCAATTTTATTTTGCACCTTCAGTCACCGTGTTTCAGTGCTTGGACTTGGCAGCGATCGCCGTCGTCTGTTCCACGTTCACGTTCACGTTCATGAGAGGCGCAGACGTTTCTCTG